GCTCTTGCTTGTGGTGTGGGTTGACTGGTTGTGTTGGTGGTTGTGGGTTGGGGTGATGGTGGTTGGTTGTGGGTTGGGGTGGAGGTAGTTGGGTTGACTTTAGCTTGAGCTATGGTGCATGTGGTTGTGTTATGGTTATGTGGTTGTTTAGGGTTGATTGTGGGTTGGGATGATGGCTCTGGGTTGTGATGGTTGGTTGAGCTATATTAGTTGCGTGATTGTGTTGTGGTGACTAATTATTGTGATGTGGTTCCTGTCAAATATTAATGTTTGGTTTTTTATGTATTTGTGATGCAATGGTTAAGACTAAAGATGTCAGTTCATTAGCCTTGTGGGATAAGGAAGCCAAACTCATATTCTGTGGCATTTGTCTTAAGGAGATTGAGCTGAAAAATAAACCTATCACCTATTTTAACGAAGAAGCGTGGTAATATATTATGAAGAAGTTCAAGGAAATCATAAATAGAGAGTACAATAGGTTGCAACTTAAGAACATGTGGGACCAATTGAAGAATAGCTGTAAATTACGGAAGTAATTAAAATGGAAATCCACATGCTTAGGTTGGGATTCAATCAAACGGACTATTTATACTTCAAATGAATGGCCGACTGAGAAATTGGAGGTAACAATTTTCATTACTTTATTTTCATTACATGAAGACTTTATTTTAATTAATGTCTCTTATAAGTAATCAACTTGACCGTATATTGCATATAGTGCCAGCCAACTAGAAATTCAAATTCAGTGGAATTGACCCTGATATGGTAGAAAATTTGGACCGTACGTTTGGTGGGGGTGGCAATGAACACTCATGCCTTGACCAAGTGAGCTTGGAGGTTGAGCAAGTAAATGGCTTCTGTGAAGGTCGAAGCCCAAACAAAAATGAACTGAAGTTCACATGTAGGTCAAGTGTCCTAAGTTGGAGAAAAAAAAGAAGAAGTTGATTTCATCAAAAGCCAAATAACAAAACTGGTGGATGCGTGCATGAGTGAGGTTGGGACTTCACAAGACACCTCCGTGGAAAACTTTCACTGAGTTATGGAGGGAACTCCCAAAATTTATGGGGACATGTCGTTATATCTGAACTCGTTGAAGTTGTTGGAGGAGCCGACCCGTAAACAAGCCTTCATGAAGATGCCCCATGGTCGTAGGGTCAACAATTTATGTTTTTTTTTTACTATAAGGACACTTGATTTTATGGAGTTATTTTTGTGTCACTTTGGTTTTTTCCTCATTATTTCATCGGATATCTTATTTGGATAATTTTTTCTTTATTGTATAAACAATCTATATGTTATTTTGTATTTATTTACTGTCATTGTATGCTTTGTCTTTTGATTTTATATA